TAACCGCTGTTCCCCCCCCCGGCATGTTTTTCAAACTGCCGCATCTGGGACTTGAATCATGTAGTCAGTAGCTGCGTGGGATCTAGCTGCTCTAACCGTCGAGCCACGGAGCTGGCTCCCACAGCTTTTTTTTTTTTTTTTAAATAGACCGTAGATTAGGTTATTGTTAACACCCATCGTGCCATGAATTCATAGCGAATAGGTTCCAGTAGCTCAGGCTCCTTTCCACTGGTTCTCACACAGCGGCTTCTCTGGGTGGAGCAGCCGGTGCTTCAGTGGAACCCAGGCACCTCCCTCTTTGGCTTCCATCTTTTTCTGGTCATTTTCCTTCCCACGTTTTAGGAAGCCATCTCTGCTCTCAGAATGCTCAGTATGCTCAATACGCACATTGATTCTCTTGGCAAGAGTCTTGCCCTTACAACAATGCCAACAGCATACTGGGTCGTACTGTAGACTCTTCCAGTTTTGCCATGGTCACATGTGTGGGGCATTCCTTTTTGAACAGTACCCATTCCCTTGATGTCTACAATATCACTTTTCTTGTAGATTCGCATACATGTTGCCAAAGGAACCACTCCATGTTTTCTAACATATATCGGGTGCCTCTCCTCTTTCTTTTTGTGTTTGTCATTTTGGTTAATTATTGGAAGATGGTGGTTCAGCCAAAAGGGACTTTTTTTTTTTTTTTTTGCAAAAAGAATTATTTGGGACTGGCAGGTGGCATGGTGGTTAAAGTGGTGGACACTCCTACATGGCTGACCATGGTTCAAGTCCTGGAGCTAGTGACTTGCTTTCTCACTTTCTCTCTCTCTCTCTCTGGTCAAATGAAAGTAAATGAATAAATGAATAAAATGAAATATTTATATATTTAAATTTTACCAGAGAGAGACAGAATAAGAGAGAGAGAGAAAGCAAGAAAGCAAGCTGCCAGGTCCGGGACTCGAACCATGGTTGGCCATGTGGGAGTCCAGCGCCTTCAGCCACCACGCTACCTGCCAGCCCCCACAGCTGATTTTTAAAGCATGAGTGACAGGACCAGCAGATGACGTAATGGTTATATTGCTAGACTCCCAAGTAGTCGACCACGGTTCAAGTTCCAGACCTGGTGGCTTAAACTTGCACCAGGTGCAACCAAAATCCTGAGAGGAGCATGGAGGAGAAGGGATTATGGCATGGCCATGCACCCTTGGGGGTGAATTCTTGCTTTCTCTCTCTCAGGTGAGTGCATGCACCCTATATTAAAAAGCAAACAAACAAAAAACTCTCAAAAAAAAAAAAAAAAGCATGAGTGACATGTAGTAGGTGACAGGGCCCTGACCAAGGAGGGCCTGGCAGTCAGGGAAGGCCCCTGTAAACTTGTGTCTCACTGCGATCTTCTTCCCGACAGGCCATAATGTTGAGACCCGACCGGGGTTACAGAGTACAGTTGTTGGGCACTTCCCCTGTGAAATCTAATTGACTCACCTGATATTTCATTAGCTTGGGTCATTGTGACAACAAGCATTACAGACGTGCATGGTCTGGGGACAGGCAGCTGGCTGCTGGGACAGGACAAGAGCAAGGGGCCTTGCGGGGCCCACCCAGCTTCTGCTCATTCCTCTGGGGCAGCCGAGTAGATGAGCTCAGCCCCATGGTCCACGTGAGGTGGGTTAAGAGTTTCTGCTGCCTTATCCCCATTTTACAGATGCTGAGACTCTTAAAATTTGACTTAACATCTTTGTAGTTCAGTCAAGTCCCAACACATGACCTGTTGGGGGACATCCCATCACTGTCCACTGAAACCAGATTTCAAAACATGAACCTTTGGGGGACAGACCATGATCTAAGCCAGAACAGGGGCTGAGGCTGCGAAGAGTGAAAATAAGGATCCAGGGGCAGAGAGAGCGAGAGTCTGAGGCCTACCTAAGAAGAAGCAGAGCTGTGTGATTCTGGCCACCACCTAAGCCACATAGTCCTGCTCTCATGGCCTCTTGGTTTTTTTGTTTGTTTGTTTGTTTTTGTTTGTTTTTAATTTAGCTTTATTTTATTTATTTATTTATTCGATCAGAGAGAGAGAAAGAAAATGAGAAAGCAAGCCGCCAGGTCCAGGACTTGAACTGTGGTCAGCCATGTGGAAGTCCAGTACCCTTAACCACCACGCCACCTGCCGGCCCCCCTCTCGGACTTTTGCATGGTGTCATCCAACTCTGGCCTTGGTCTGCTTTCATGAAGCCAGAGGACTGTAGCCTGCCCTAAATAACACCGTTTCTGGCCCCAGCAGCAGGGCCTGACTGTGCTCGTACTTGGGCCTCTCCGGGCATGGCCTTAGTTATGTCTAAATCCACCTTCCTTTTTGTAGAGACGGCTTTTTAGAGCACGACATCATCCTTGCCCTGTCAACCCTGTTGGACGATCCCAACCCGATTTGCCGGGAGAACCTGCATCAGGCCTACAAGCACCTGGCTCAGCTGCCTGCAGGTAGGCAAGCATCCTGCACACGTCGGGATGCCCGTGGGTCGTCTCCGGGTCACCGAGGTGCCAGGCTGCAGGTCACAGCCATGGCACGGTGTTGTTTTTAAGTTACTTGTTCATTAAGGTACAACCCACATTTAAAAAGCACAGGTCATATGTGAATATTTGAGGTCGTCGAACTAAGTGAAAATACTTTGGAACCCCTACCCAGATCCAGAGATATGAGGAGGCTTCAAAAAGTGTGTGGAAAATGTGTATTATGAAAAAAAAAAAATCTAAATTTTTTTAAAAAATGGATTTAATTTTATTTATCATTATTATTATTTTAAAATTTGCTACAGAGCACATGTACTCACCAGAGAGAGAGAGAGACAGAGAGGGAAAGTGAAAAAGTAAGCTGCCAGGTTCAGGATTTGAACCGTGGTCATCCGCATGGGAGTTCAGTGCTTTAACCACCCTGCCACCTGCTGCCTCCCCCCCCCAAGTTTATTGCACTAAAATAAACTTACACTTTCTTTCTTCTCTTTTTCTTTATTCATGTTAGAGCATGTGTGCACATGCATGAAGGAGAAAGGGAGGTGCACCCTTTGCAGGGTCCGGTCAGGCCACATTCCCCTTCTTCCATCTGGTTCTGCAGCCCACAGGATCTTGGGCATTCATGCTCGTGCCTGGCATGGGTCAGGCCAACCTGGCTGGGGTTTTGAATGTTGGATCCAGCCTCTCTTCCTCTTTTGAAAAAATTTCCAGAGGACATGCGCACTTGCCAGAAAGATGCAGAGAAAGGGAGAGAGGAAGGTAAAAAGCATACCCCCATGAGGGACGGGCATGCTGCGATCCCTTCTCCACTGCTCTCTCCTTTCAGGATTTTGGACACACATGCACACATGCTCAACATGTTTCTCAAGCTGTCGGATCTGGGAATGGAACCACTGACTGGGGCCACAGTCGGCCATGTGGGATCCAGTCACCTTAACCACCATGCCACTGGCCACTGGCCAGCCCTTTCTTTCTCTCTTCCCCTTGCCCTTCCCTCCCTCCCTCCCTCCCTCTTTCTTTTTTTTCTTTCTTTCTTTCTTTCTTCCTTTCTTTCTTTCTTTCTTTCTTTCTTTCTTTCTTTCTTTCTTTCTTTCTTTCTTTCTTTCTTTCTTT